TCTAGAATGGTCATATATTTCTATGATACTTGGATGCTCTACATTAAGTCTCTGATGGGAACAATGGAAGTGAGTAAAAGAAAAATACCGCTTTTGATTAGGAAAAGTGGAAACTGCATTTTGTAAAGTATGCTTATCGGTATATCCTATTCTAAATACGTCACCCGTTAAATTATTTAATGATAAAGCCTCAATAGAGAATCTACCTTTATTCATTCCTGATTTAATTAAACGAATTTCATCTAACCCTTTTTTAGTTAGATGAGCTTTGTTTTTCATTAAATCTGCAATTCTGCAAAAATCTTGAAAATCGTTTGATTTTTCACCTTGGATAGGATAATTTAAAAAGAATGGAATAATTTTTTCATTAATGTCTGAGAATTTAGTTACTACAAAATCTCAAACTTCTTGATTAGTCTTCTTCTTTAAATATCCACATCCTAAAACCTGAATTAAATTTCTAAGAAATTGTTCATCTTTGGCATGTTGAGTAATTTGAAATATTAATTGAATAATTACCTTATTATTACCTTCAGAAAGATTACAAAAAAAACATCCCTCCCCTGTTGTGAAACCAGCTAATCAATTAGGACTTACAACTGAATTATCTGTAATTAAAGGCCTCTCCGTAGAAGTAATATCTGGGAAAGCTAGTTTTAAATCGTCAGAAAGAAGACCTCAATTCATAGCCGCTTTAATTGAAACAATTTTTCGTAGTCCATCTTGATTAAGATGTTCTTTAACTAACATTAAAGAAATAGCTTGCTTGAATAATTCATAATCCGCTTTTTTTCTTGAAAAAAGTGGAAATTTATCTAAATGAGCTATTATTATATTTAAATCTTTTAGGTTCTGAGCCCTATATTCAAAAGACTCTTTACGTTGTTTATAAATTTTTCCTGCCTCAAAGAAATTTAGAATTTTTTCTAGTAAAGCTAGATCCTTTTTATGTAAAGTTAATTTAAAGGAAGGTTTTAATGCTCAACCTGTAACATAATCTTTATTTTTATAAACATTTAAATAAAAACAACCTTCAGCGTCTATAAGCCCCGAAACAAATTCAGGATTAAGTATTGTTTTAGTTGTATAGAAACGTTTAGTTGTTCTTATTTTCTTAAAAACAAATCCAGATTGGCGTCCTAAAAGAGGATGAGAATTTCGGGTACTTAACATTAATTTATTATGTCCCCAGGCGCATTGTCTTAATTCTACACATTTTTTACTTTTGAAAAAAAAACATAGAAATACAATTAGTATTATTACTACTAATAAAAAAAGTGAGTAACTAATAGTATAAGTTTTTAAAACTATAAGAGTTTCGCGCATCGAGTAGAGTTTTATTGCCTCTAAGTTACCAAAGAGCAACTCCTTACCTTTTAAAAGAGTTCAACCTGTCAATTTACAAATAAAATTTTTCCATCTCGTTATTGTTAACCCTGATTACATTGAACAATAAAAATTGTTCAATGAATCTCAATTAAATTGAGTTCAGGCGCCGCCGCGTAGCGGCGGCACCTGAACCAGCATCGCGCAGTGCGCGCCTCCGGTTCTTTTAGTATTCATAATGAATAAATACTAAAAAACAGGATTAATTAACAAGTTTATAGGTTGAAGAAAATTTTAATTCCTTTTTTATTATAGGAACTATCACTTAAAACACACATTTAATTTAACACTAGTGTATAAACTATCTCAATTTTTAAAAGGATAAAGATAAAAATAAAATAAACAGGATTATTTTATTCTTTTTTTAATATTTATTATTTTCTCTACCCCCTCTTGAGTCAAATGTGCTTTGTTATTCATTAATACCCCAACACTGCAAAATTTTTCATAATCTAATGATTTATATCCTTGTAGAGGATATTTTTGGAAAAATGGTATAAATTTTTTTTGTATATCTGAAAATTTTGAAGCTAGGTATGTTACATGATCTGCGTTTTCATAAACGGCTCCGCTATTAAAATAATTTACAAAACCTTCCATTAAAATTTTATCTCGACTATGTTGAACTATACTAAAATCTAATTTTATCTGGTATCCTGTTTTGTAAGCATTAGATTTTATAACATTTATAAAAAAACATCCTTCAGCTTCTACAAATCCAGTAATTCAGTAAGGGTTTACATTTTTAAAATAATTGTTTCTTACAGGTCTTTCTACAGGACATACATTTGGAAAATGAGTAGTTAGCAATGGCGTTAGGCCTTTATTTAATGAAGATTTAAGTGATATAATCTTATCTAATCCTTTTGAATCTAAATGTTGTTTATTGTGCATAATAATAACTATTTGTTTAAATAGTTCAAAATCGGCTTGTTTTTCAGTTAATAAAGGATATTTTTCAAAATGAGGTATTATTACATTAATAATATCTTTTATTGATTTAACAGTAAAATAGGCAGAATTATCTTTTTCACGTATTGTGATATTTCCAATCCCTCCGAAAAATTTTTGTATTTTTTCTAATAGAGCTGTATCTCTACTATTTAAATTAATAGTAAAAACAGGTATTATATTTCAACCTGTTTTATATGTTGCTCTTTTAAGCACTAATACTGAAAATGAACCCTCACCATCTACAAAGCCAGTTACATAAGAAGGATGCAAACAATTAAACTTTCCTTTAGGATTAGAATAAGTACTATTTAATCTTTTATTTAATTTACCTGTCTTTAAATAATAAGATTACAACTTATAAAAGAGTATTTTTTACCTTATTTCAATGAATGAAATAAGGATAATAATGAAGGGAATCTTGAAGGCCTTCAAGAAGAAAAAAAATATAACAATTTACCTTTTTGATTTCTAATTGTTTTAAGAACAATTATAGATCCATCGCCTTCTATTAAACCAGCTAAATAATGACCTAATAATCTATCAGAATCTTTATTAGTTGAAAATTTACGTAGAAGACCTTTAAAGGAAGATTTCGTTATTTTAGTTAATTTACCCTTCACTATAAAAAAAAATAAATTTTATTTGTTCCCGCGCTTCCGCGCGGGGATTGGACTATATTTTCACCTTATAAGGTGTATCACGTATAGTCTCTGTGGAATCCTTCTAAGGTTTCCTACTGATTATCTTTTAAAATATTATTTATAATAAATACAATATATATTATTACATATTTTATTTTTGGAATTTCCAGTATATAGTGATAATCTTTATAGTAATTACTTACTACTCGGGCACAGGGATTTTAAGTACCCGCACCATCCTCGATACAACTAGAAAATACAAATAAAGCTAAGCTAGGAATAAGTAGTGGGGTCGCAGACCGGGTCCATATTTAAGGCTTGAGAGCGCTGGGTCCAATTCTCGTGTGTTATTGATATTATCTCAACTTAGCGCTATGGACAGTTCTTAGTCAGATACTTTTTAAGGGTATCAACAACCATTCTTCATTTTCTTCTTATATGGATAACCAGAACGCTCCCCCCGAACCGTACGTGCAACTTTCACCGCATACGGCTCTCCACAGATTTCATTGGTAGCTGGTGTGGTTACCTTTCTCATACTTTCTCCTCATTAGTCTGTCGGTTAGGTTAAAAAAAAGGCCCAATTAAGTGAAGGCTGGAACAGCAGCGAATGGCTGATTTTGGGTTTACGGATTATACCGCTTACTTTTTCTTCCCTTGAAGAGTTTTTAAAGAAATTCCATCATATTTTCCAGCATGGATTTTTACATGACAAGGTTGACAGACGGGAATTTGCTTACGATTTAATTTTTACATTATTTTAGTGAAACCACTGAGGTTTTCTCCTTGTTTTATTATGTGTTTTACGTGGTGCATGTGTATATCTCCAGTTTCTCCACATATTAGACAAGAATTAAACATCGCTTTTTGGGTTTCTATGTTTCAACGAACCACATTTAAAGGGTCTCAGAATTTTGTATTAATTTTAAATTCACCCGTCTTATTCCCGTTGGGTGGGAGGAAGAATTCTACTTTATTTTTCGTTTTTAGTGTAGACAGATCATCTTTGGGGGCCAGGTTCGTACCAAATTTTCCGAAGACAGTGGCACGAGAATGTAAGTTAAATTTTCTTGTCAACGTGAGTGCACAAGAATGCAATAGTATATGTTTGACAATGCTGTTAACAACTGAATAATAATTATCCACGAAAGAGTAGTAGTTTAAGTATCCTTTGACTACAGAGTTGTAGTTCATGATAATGGTTCTATGATCGTAGAATATTCACTTTTTTAATGCTGTAGGAGTTCCATGAGAATCTTGGACGAATCCTTCTTTATGAAGTTTATCAATGATTCTCTTTATAGGCGCATGGAAAAAGACCCGAACATGATTTACTTTGGACTTTATTTTTTTTCCTGATCTATCTTTCTTCGAGACCATTTTCGATTGAGCAGGTTTCGGAGTAGATATCTCTGTTCCAAGAAACATAGCCCTTTCGTCGTGTAGGTTCGTTATGACCGTTTTTTCTTCGCTTAGTTCAAGTTTGAGAGTTTCTTTTAGAAACTTAGAGATTCTCTCTTTCATGTCCTTAGCGAATTCTTTGTTTCCTATTATTCCTACAATTCAATCGTCTGCATATCTGCAATATCTTATGCTGTTTCCGGTTTTTAATCGGGACGGTTGTATATTTCTCTTTTCTCGTAGTTGAGCGATTTCTTTTAAAATTCTCTTGTCTGGATTATCTTTATATTCTTTCTCTTTTCTTTTGATCAGAGTTGAATATCAAGACATTTTAGGATTCACTTTTGATATTTCTTTATCCGTCAGTTCTTCAATTAAGCTCTTCATATATAAATCTAATTCATGTAAGTAAATATTTGAAAGCAAAGGTGATAGAATTCCTCCTTGCGGTACACCTAAGTTAGATGCATGATAATTATGATTTTCAACATATCCAGCTTTGACTAATTTTCAGTATAAATTCATGAATCGAACATCATCTATATATTTCTTTAAGAGTCCTTCAAGTACATAATGGTCTACGTTGTCGAAATATCCTTTGATATCTCCTTCGATCGCTCAGGTGGTTCCATTCCATTTAGAGATTTCTTTAAGGGCTGTATGACAACTTCTTCCAGGTCTAAATCCGTGGCTAGTGTCTAAAAATTTTGGTTCGTAGATCGCTTCTAGAATAATTCTCATGGCTTCTTGGACTAATTTATCCATTGGACTCGGGATTCCTAATGGCCTCATTTTCCCATTGGCTTTGGGGATATATTCTCTTCTTACTGGTTTAAATTGGAAGGATTGATTTTTCATAGTGAGAATTATTCGGTCTATGATTTTGAGAGAAATTCCGTCGAGCGTTATTTGATCCGAACCTGGGGTCATATTTCCCGGTTTGGATTTTATGTTTCGATACGCTAGTATATATAAGTCCCGCGACATCATCAGTTTGTAAATATCTCTAATTTTCGGTTCTAACCGAATATTACCTAGAGCTAATTCGAGTATCCTGCCGACTTGGACTTTTATGTCCTGAGTTTCCGCTTGATATGAATTAGTGGAAATTTGCTGGAACCCTTTAGTAATGAGTTGCATCCGCTCATTACCTTGTACGGTTCCTCCGTCCCCTTGTCGATTACTCGATTTAGGGGATCCCGCATTTGATTCTTCGACGTTTTCACTTTCCTTAGGTTCAGTTCTATCTACTTGCGGTAGTTCCTTTTCAGAGATTGTCTTAGGGTCACTCTGATCTGTTGACTCTAACTCCTTATCATTAGCTTCAGCGTTGGGGCTAAAAGGGTTTAGTTCGGCCCCGGAAGAACTCAGATTTTGAACCATAGAAGTGTTATCTAGCAGTACTTCCTCGTGATTCCAACTATCACTGTTTACTGCTTCATCACCATGCTCCGGTCCCTCATCCATTTCGGAATTTGGTAAGGTGATTGATTTACAGACTGTTACAATAAGTCTGGTTGATATCTTTAGTAATCTTATTATTAATAAATTAATTACTTTTCGGACTGCAAGGTCTATGATATCTTTTCATGTCCTTAAAGATCAACGACCATCGAATATCCAAAACGGCGCACATCAGAAACTAATGTTATTAAGACGAGGGAATGCCCAAACTTAGTTATATAAAAAGCGACTTCCGTTCATAAAGCGCTCCTAGGTGTTTTACATATGTTCTGATCATTTACCTGATAAGGACCCTTCACACCAATCAGCTTAAGCCAATTCTAAGTTTCGACTGTACATTCGCGAGCTTTTATGCTCTACGTAGGTGAACCAGTCAGTAGCGATGTATAATATCGACGGTCTTCAATCAGGGAATCGTTAACCGTTTTCACCTTATCCAATCATTATATTTATTTATGACTTGTTATATCATCATAATTTATTTATATGATTAGGTGAGATTTGCACTCACGACACTTCATTCAGATAATAATGTCAGGACCACCACCTATTATAGGCAATAGAAAATTACCAAATCCACCAATTAATGCAGGCATACATTTTATCCTTAGCTTTCACTAAGGTTTGGACTATATCTTTATCCCACGCGCGAAGCGCATGGGATATTTCACGTGTAGTACTCTGAGGATCCTACTTAATAAAAGTGTTTAATGCATTATAGCCCTTATATTTTTGGTTTCCTGCTGATTGTCTAATCTTTTGAAATGTTACTGTTTTCTGCCGCTTTTCATTTAAGAAAACCGCAGGACTAGTTTCAAAAGCTCTAAAGATATTCCAGCACACAGTGAAAAGAAAGTAATACATTACTATATTACCCGGCCATGCCTTAGTAATTTATTTATTACTAATAAGCAATAATATATATTATTCAGTTTTAGTTTTTAGGTAAGTAAATTTTCATTTACCTCTATAATAACCAGATTTAGTTCCTTTTAAATATTCTCTAATTACCGCACGATCTCCTTTAAGCTCTTTGGCTAAAGAACTTAAAGAACTAAATTCTCTATTTAATCTAGAATCGTCTTTAAATTCAGCTAAAATAGCTTTAGATGCAGGATGTTTAACTTCATAAATCTCTCGTTTTCTTGATACAAGAGTTTTAATTTCTTCTAAAGTTAATAAATTAGTATTATTACTTTCTTCTATTCTATCCAAAGAAAAGAAAAAAGTATCTAAATATAATTTTCCAAAATCTAAACAATCATCAAGAGTTTTATGGTGGATATTAATTGTGTTATACATAAAAGTTTTAGAAGCAAAAATATATAATAAAGTAAAATCGTTAGCATCATATACAAAAATTGGCATACCTCTTTGTTTTCTTAATAGTTCTCGCATTTCTTGACTCATGGGTTCATGATATCCAGAGCTGCTAGCTACTAAATCTACATTTAAATTAGGTTTCAAACTATCTATAAAATGTTGTTCTAATTCTACTACTTGTTCTAAACTAGCTGAATTTTCCATAATATAAATAGTTAGTCTTATATTAGTAAAACCGTATTTATTTAAATATCTAAGAACTCTACGTTCTTTAGTTTTTAAAATAGATGGCATAAAATATGAACATATGCGATTATATAAATTTATTGAATGACCAACATAAATATTTTTTTCATCTAATGTTTCCCAAATATAAACACCTTTTTGTTTTTTTGCTACTTTAGCTATAATATCTCTGTTATTATAAGGATCTTCTACTAAAACTTTAGTATAATTATATTTAGTATTTAAAGGATCTTTTTGGTTATTTTTACCTAAATTTTTTAACTAACTGAATATAATTTAATAGAATGGCCTTACGCTACGGTGGGATATTTTATGTATAGTCTCTGAAAAAACTCATCAGTATAAGTGTTTAATGCTTAAATAGCCCTTATATCCTTGGTTTTCTGCTAATTGTCTAATCTTTTGATATGTTACTGTTTTCTACCGCTTTTCATTTAAGAAAGCATGCAGAACTAGTTTCAAAAGCTCTAAAGATGTCCTAGCATTAAATAAAAAAAAATAACATATTACTATATTACCCGGCCATGCCCTAAAAATTAATTTTAAATTAAATTAATTTTATATAAACAATTAAATATATCAATACATATTGTCAATAAAATTTTTTATTTAGTTTATTAAACTATCATCTGCTATGCAAATCTTTTAAATACATCTACCAGAGTTCATTCCAGTTTTAATTTTTCTAATTTGATCAAGACCTTCTTTAGTAAGATGAGTCTTTTTATTCATTAATTCAGCAACTTGCTTAAAGTCTTGAAAATCTAATCTCTTGATTCCTAAGATAAGATTTTTTTCGAAAAAAGGAATAATTATATTTGCTATGTCTTTTTGTTTAGAAACAATATAATTACTTCAAGATTGATTAGAAGAATGTGAATAGCGACCACAACCCAAATAATTAATAATGTTTTTTAAAAGTTGCTCGTCTCGAACATGCTGAGCAATATTAAATATTAATCTAACAGCTTCTCCAGTTTTAGTAGTAGAAGATTTATAAATTTCAACGAAAAAACAACCTTCCCCCGACACAAAACCTGCTAATCATTGAGAATCAGTTATTTCTTGGTTAAGTACTAAAGGTCTAGGAACAGGTTTAATATAAGGAAACGCTTTTTTTAACGAATCTGATAAACCTCTATTCATGGAAGCTTTATTAGCTATTAGTTTATTTAAACCTTCAGTCGTTAAATGTTGATTAGATTTAATTAGTTCGACCGCTTCTTTAAATAAAATAAAATCAGCCTGTTTTTGCGTAATCAGCGGATATTTATTAATATAATTAATCAGAACTTCCAAATCTTTTATTGAAGAAATTTTATAAACTACAGCATCTTCGCTCCCTTCATGAATTGAACCTATACCTGTTGTATCTCTAATGGCCTCTAGGATCGATTTGTCCTTTTTGTGTAACCTAATCGAAAAGGACGGCTGAGCTGTTCAACCTAATTTCACTTTAGAATTTTCTCAAAAAGTTAACATAAATGAGCCTTCAGCGTCAATAAAACCTGAAATTCACCAAGGATTTAAAATATTTTGGTTGGTTAAAAAATTTCCTATTTTTACTAGTGAGTGAAAATTTTTCACTCTAGTAACTGATATATTTATTTGCTTTTCTTTGACCATAAAGAAAATCATCAAGATCGCGTGCGCAGTAACGATACTATTGTAAAGTTGATTATCCGCCATGTACTGTACACCAGGTCCTGATAATTCTAATCTAATTAACACAGACATTCCAGTACCTACTAATCCAGAAAATAAAGCAAAAATTAAGTATAAAGTAGGGGTCAGTAAAACTGCCCTCAGAACCGTACGTGATAGTTTCCCATCATACGGCTCGCCCCAGGTTCTGTTTCCAATGCGATTTATATCTAAAGATTTTACGATTCATTGATGTTCTTTACTATATGTTTGAAACACTCAGCATCAGGATGAATCGATAGTGAAGATTTGTAAAGCTTATCGTTTGTCGAGGAATACTGTAATTCAACTAGAGTTCATTTATATTTGGTTCAAGTCTCACATAGGCAACCATTCTCGTGCCACCTTAATTTGTTATATTAAGGATATGACAAGCGCAGGCTATATCTCTCTCTTTCCATAGTTTTGTTCCACGCCTATATTTGTTTCTTGAAATACAGACAGATGACCATTATCTTTTTTTTCCTCTCTTTGTAGGGCTTAAGAAGTGCAGGACTCAATTCTCGTACGTTTGATGACTATATTATAAATTTCTTTTTATCGTTTTACTTCTTCATATTTAGATATCAACCTTGATGTTTTCGGTATAATTACTGATTTGATTAAGCTCGTAGTTCAGTAATTTACCTTGATGATAAAGAGTATAATGGTATTGGCATAATGGGACTTGTTTTCGTTTAACTGCTCCTATTCATTGGGCGAATAGGGCAGTTCTTGAAGCCATTTTGGCTCTAACGTCTTTTACAGTTCTTACATGGTGCATCTCGATTGATGTAGGACTATGACATAACATACATATTTTGAATATATTAGTAGTAGTGAGTCTCCCGTGTCAATCTTGTTCTAAAGTTTGTAGAGCAGGATATTGGGGGGTTTCACAGTTATATTGATGAATTGTTTTTAAACTGTCTGGGGTCCTTAGCATGTAATCAGTTTTGGGGTCTGTTAGGTCCGGCCCGAATTTGGTAAATATATGTCTCATTGATTTTAGTTTAAATTTTCGCGCTAGTGTTTTAGCAGCAGATTGTTTTAATAATCAGATAATATTAAATAATTTTACTCTATTTCCTGCAAAGGTATAGTAATTTAAAAGACCTTGTATCTTTGAATTAAAGAATTGTAGTATAGTAGTGTGGTCTAGGTTTACTAATTTCATATAGGGTTTAGCTAATAATTTATTTAGATGGTTTCTTTTCAAAAATCCTAATTCGAGTAATTTTTTTATTATCTTTTCTGTTGGCATGTCTACTCTAGCACGAACTGATGCTCTCATACTTATTATTTTACCGGTTCGGGTTTTTGTCTTCATTCGAAAATCTTGTTTCTTTAAGGTTTTGATATGGGCTCCTAGGAATTCAAATCCATCTTGTAAATGAGTGATTATAGTCTTTTCGGTGTTTAGTTCAAGTCCAGTATGTTGATATAAGAATTCTTTAATTTCGGTTTTAATTCATTGAGCCTCTGTTAAAGGCCCTTCGAGTAGAAAGATGAAATCATCTGCATATCTTATATACATGTTTCTTCGGAAATTAGGATCGAGTGGATCTTGTCTATTCATTTTACGGACTAATTTTAATGCGATTTTTGCTCCTTCGTCAGTACGATTCGGATTTTTTGGGTCTCTCGCATATATAATTTTTTTGTATTCAGGATTACCTCTTCTTCGAGTTCCGAGGTGAAATTTAGGTGCTATATTTTCTGTAATGTATTTATCCATTTCGTGTAGTACA